AGCGCTGCCAGGCGCGCAGCCGGCTTGAGCCGGGCCGGGCGGGGACGGCTGCCCCAGCGCCCTCAGACCACCTGCCTGGGGGCAAGGAGACCCCCGTCCCGGCGGGACTACCCCGGGACACCGGCGTTGCCCTCGCCCCGTTCCCTCGCAGTTTGCTCCCATCTGCCTTCCCCTGTTACTTTTGGTCTAGGCGCTTATCGGCTAATCCCTCTTCGAACAAAACGACTTTTGTTAGTAGGGCGTAGCTGGGACCTGTGCGTTTACACACGTCGCGTTGCGTAACACCGCTGTGTAAAAAAGTGTTAACTTCGGAACATAAATTTCAGGTTTCTTCTGGTTTGTATGGCTCGTGATTTTGGGACAAGACGATCTCCAGATCTAGCCTTTTTTATTGATAGCTATTGCAACGGAAAGATTGAAGCGAGGAGAAGTATACGAAATCTGATGGGTTTTCAGAGGTGGAAGGGGATGTTCCCGGCGGAGCTGACGCTCCCTCTCGCTGGAAGCCCATGGCGGGGCGATCCCTGGCCGCCTGCGCCGCGCTGCTCGTGAGCTGCTCACAGGCATCCACGTTTCGAGTTCGGCAGCGGAGCCAAAAGGCTCTCCGAGAAACGTGGTTCCAGTTTCGAGCCCCAAAAGGGGTTTACAGGCTTCTTTATTTGCTCTCAATGGGGGAGGTCTAGAGATCACACCCTCACGTTCAACCACGTTTTGAAAGTGACAAACACTGTTTTCCTCTCTTGCAGTAGGTTCAGAAAATTAAGAACAAAACCAAACATATTTGCACCAACTTTCACAAGAATGCTGGTTTCTGTGAACTAGGGATCATAACAATCCTGTGTGTCTTTTGTGAACAGGTGGAATCACTTTATCCTCATCCTGGCTGGGTTGAATTAGATCCTGAAGTGCTGTGGAGTCAGTTTGTTGGTGTGATAAAAGAAGCTGTACAAGGTAATGATTTACAATAAAGTTTGAGAAGTTCATTATTCATCAAAATTAGTGATATTAGTTATTTAGACAGTAAGATTATTTATTTTTAAAAAGTATTGGAAATAACAGGTCAACAACATGCCTTAAGACTTGTTCAATCAGTATGTAAAATAGGACAATTCAGCTATTTTCTTCTTTCAGTGAGGCCAGATTAGGGTTGAAGTAGAACCAGCAGCAGTGTGCATACTCAATTTACATGTCAGTGATGGCACCTTGTTGCTCCAGCTCTTTGTATATGTATCCTTCCCCAGCGTCTGTCTGTCTTCCTCCAGATGCCTCTGTGTAGGAACAGAGAGTAGGCTTGTTTCCCCGTCCGATTCCTTATTATTCTGCTGCTGCTTTGTGTTTGTGAATGTCAGTGAGAGAATGAAAGCAGAATGCTGCATAGTTGTGCTTGCTCAATTACAGCCTGATATTCCTGTTTTTCCCATGCAAACTACAGACAGTTCTTACCATCTGATTTCTGTATTATTGTTCTTTTCTGTTTGTACTTTAGCCTAAAATTTCCTAGTACTCAATGCACTAAGCGCACACAACTCCCTTTTCTGCCACACTTCTGGTATTTTTTCCCCACTTTTCTGGATGCTGCTCTAACAGTGCACTTAGTCTCTACTACTCCCACAGCTTTCCCATTATACCACCTCTGGCATTCTATGATCCAGCATGGATCACCTCCTGCTGTGCCACACTGATGCCGTGGGCCTGTCAGCTGCACCCAAGCTTGTTTTCTTGCAGTGCCCCAGCATCCTTGTCATGTGTGTGTGCATCATACTCTTTTATTCCGTGCCTAAAGTTCTTCTTGTTCAGCCCCTCTTGCAGTTTGGACTCCAAGTATTGCTCTGCCTACAAGCCTGGCTAAAGGCAAAACTGTCTTTTCCTTTGGAAGGCAGCCTAGGGAACAGGGGAAGGAACCATTACCAGGTGTAAGCTGCAGCTGATTATTTGGGGCTCTTGGTTTGTTTTCTCAGCAGCCACAACTGTTCTGTCACAAGAATAGCAATGCCACCTCAGACCCTTAAGACCTTACTAGCTTCCTCCACTCCTATTCTGTGGGGCAAATCAGGAAGCAAGATTTTTCAGCTAGTGTTAAAATTGGAAGCTTTCCTTGTGGCCACGCTGCATGCACCGTCAGCAAGTCATTTTTAAGTGGTTGTGTAATGTACGTGAGCGTAAGCCCACGCTGCTGTCAAAAGAAGCAGTCCAGCCCTCCTTTTTACAGGGTGGTTACAAGTCCAGAGCAGTTTCCTGAGTCAGACCACTGTGACTGTTTATGACAGCAGAGTTTCGCCACTGGTGGTGCAGGCACAAGAGAGGGTGTGGTACCAGCGGCCTGTCTGGAAGCAGGAAGAAGGTGTAGGAGCACTTCAGTTTACAGGTCTTGAGAAGCTAAAAGCATGCACCAGTGAATGAGCTGATGTAGTTCAGTACTCCCTAAAGGTGGCAAGTACTTCTGGCTGCATGGTCTCACCTCTCTCTTTTACTCTGGCGCTGGAGGCAGCTTAGCTGAAAAATATCTGTGTCTGTCTTTTTTGTTTTTCTTTTTAATGGAAGTTAGCTCTAGTCACATAGGGGTCTAGAGATCATGATAGTTGACATGAGAAGTGGTGGGAGCATGCAGGTTGTGGAGACAGGGAGGAGTAACACATGCCACTAATCTGTAGTGAGCTGCGGTAGTACTGGTATGGCTTTGCCTTCAGTTTAGACCCAGCTGCTACTGAAAAAGATATACTGCTGTTCTCAAGCCACCCTGTCCCAGGTCCTCCTCCCATACACTGCTGCTGGCAGCAGCACTCGAGCAGGTGGCCTTGTGCAATCCCTGGTACAGCCTTCAGCTGATGGAGGGTTTTGATACTACTGCCTGCATGAGTGCAAGGACTAGTGTAAGGGAAGGTGCAGAAACATGTAGAGGTTGGCAGACCAAGACATGCTCCTTCTCTGTGAAACACCTTCTCTGTAGTTGTCACTCAGAGGCTGTTGGTGTAGAGTCTGCAGTTTATGCATTACTCAGATGGGTGACTTTGCATGTGAAAGTTAAGAACATGTATGAGCAGGACGTACTAAACCTTTGTTCAAGTAGCAGGATTGAGAGCCCTTCAGTGAACGATACTTTGGACAGAATAGGTAGTATCATTGAAATGGAATTTCTTAATGTATATTTTTTTCACATAATTTTGCTTCTGGAAGTATGCATGGAGGCACTTGGGAAGCTGACCAGAGCTGCTTTGAAAATAGCTGTGGACATATTTAATTATTTACCGTTACATATATTAGAAAAAAACGTTCTGTAACAGTTATTTGAAGATAAGATTTAATAACAAAATTTGTGTATACTCAAATGTACGTCTTTATATTTCTGATTTTGAAGTATATTTTCTTGCATTTGGTGCATGGTTTAAGCAACTGTCTTACAAATTTTGAAAGATTGCTTCAGGAGATGTGTCATCAAAGTGATGTAAAAAATCATGGTGTGTTGACATTCATCTCTGCTGCCTACAGAATCAATCTAGTTTTTTTCTTTATGGAATTTATTTCTGTAGGTTTGGTACTTCTGTTTGTGCTTTGTCACATTCATCCATGTGAAATGCATGTTTTAATTGATTATATAGACATATGTAACCTGCTTGCTTGTCTCTCGGGTTGTTCAAGTAAAGTATCAATGGGCCTTTCAGAAGCTGGAAATGGGCAGTGTGTCACAACTGCTTTTGTAAAATACAAAGGTTTATTTACCTGCTTTGCAATAAGTTGTATGATTTAGGATTTTTCTAATATTTCACTGTTCTAGCCACTTAGTTGGGTAGTCTGTAGAGATTTATATTCTCTGAAATTATTAACTAAAGTTTTCCCTAGATTATATAGTTATATTAGAAAAATTGGTTTTTTGCTTGTTTCTTCAAATAAATGCTTTTTTGTGTGTGATTTGGTTTTGGTTTTTAGCTGCAGGACTTCACATGAGGCAAATTGCTGGTCTTGGTATCTCAACGCAGAGAGCAACTTTTATTACATGGCACAAGTATGTATATTGTGTATTGTTTAAAATGAATTTGTATTCATTTGTATTCATAGACGAGATGGAAGTGGACTGTAGAAATGTTGAACTTAGTCAAGTCAGAGCCTGAAAGCCACAAATGTCAGTCACTCATGTTGTGTTTACACAGCCACACCTTACAGCAGTTCAGAATGGTTTATAGTTTATGTCCTTTTTGGTTTTAATTGGTACTTTGAAAGAGATGAATATATACGTATTTTTTAGTTCTGGTTAGAAGTCTCACACTCAGAATGTCCAGGTGTCTATTACTGATTTCTCAAATCAACCAGGAGGATATTAACTTATTTTAGGAATTGACCTGGTGAATGATGTTGACTGTTTTGGGCAGCGTATGTTCTGTAGTTTTAAATGGGAATGTTCAAATACTGTTTTTCAGGAGGACAGGGAAACCTTTCCATAATTTCATAAGTTGGCAAGACTTAAGAAGTGCTGAACTTGTGAATTCCTGGAATAAGTCCCTTCTGCTGAAGGTAAAACTGTGATAACTTACATACTGCTTGAACATACTAGAGCTGTTATTTTATGAAGAATAAGGGCAATAAATGAAATACTTGCAGGCGTCTTGTTAACATGTTAATATAATGTGCTGTGGCCTAAAAACATTTAACAGAGCAAGATTAGCATGGAAAATAGTATCAAGAAAAAAATGCAGTACTGTTAGCCTGCAGGTAATTAATTATGGGAAAAACATATCTGTAGGTCTAATGTACATTTTGTTACTTTTTAGTCTCTTTGTTGTATTAAAATGTTGCATGTTAATGCTGCTACATAATTGGGTGTAGGTGGTTCTTGGTCAGCACTGTTTTGGGGGTTTTGGGTGTTGCTTTGTTTTTTGTTAATGTACTCTTTGGTCAGATTATCTATAGAAGGTACATTTTATTCTGCTCATAACTTGTGGTTCATACCTTCAGAAGAGAAAGATTTGAAGTTACTTTCCCTGTAAGTGGAAACTAACTAGGACGGTCACTGAGAAGTTAAATTCTTGGGTTTGACACTGATTTCTTTTGTGAATGAAAACTTGATTAATGATTAAATTTTGGTTAATCTATTAAAACATGATTGAGCCTGTCTACTGTAGGATAACTTTCACTGGAGTAACAGTACGTAATGCTGTGAACCATGTCGTGCATTGTGCTGGTATAGGTGACCTGTGTCCATATGAAGAGCAGTTTCTATCAGTGTGCCAGCAGAAGTCAGTCAAATAGATGTGCTTAGTGCAGCTGCTCTTTCCTGTGGTGTGTATTTGTGGGAAGGCTATCTGTTGAACCTATGGTTCCCTATGGTGTGGATTCTCTAAAAGAATTGTAGCTTTCTGAATCTAATCTCATGTCAGCAGCTTTCATCTGTGTTGTCATCCTTTAAAGGTAATTGATCAGAAATCTTTAAAGGGAGAGATTAAAAATTAAGTAACTTTTCTTTTGAAACAGGTAATCCATGTTATTTTTACAGTGCTTCATTTCTTGACTGGGAATGATCGATATTTGGCACCAAGTTTTCTTACTTTTTCAACACAACAGACTTCTATGAAGTTGTCATGGGTTTTTAAAAACATACATGAGGTAAGCTGGAAAGGGAAAAATAATAGCTTTCTTAAATCATAATAATGGCTGGTGTCTTTAGGCTGGTTCTAACCTCTGCATCTACTCATGTTTATACAACTTCTTTCTCTGATTATGGAAATGTGTAGTAGTAAAATGTTTTCTTCGTGCATAAGAAACAGAAATCATCTTATTTCACTTGATATAATTATACAGTTAGTGATTGTACCTTGCTTGTACTCTAGTTTAGTATGACAGTTGTATTTTTTTTCAGGCTTGTACTCTTATCTTTCCACTCTGTGGAAAACTATTTCAGTGTTCACAGTTTCACAAATAATATCATACTGGACAATCAAACACTGCAATTTATTTTGTATTTTGTTGTAGTGTGAATTGGAAAATACACATCAAATAAGTTTTGCTGGAATAATATAACTGACTAGTGATCACTGAGATATTTGTTGCTGTATTCTTTGCTCTAATCCTTATAATTTTCCTTGTTTCTTCCTATTGTATTTATAAATTCAGTCATCTTATTTTCTATGTTAATTTTCAAGTTATTTTTGACAAAAATGCTTATCAGTCTTCTATCCTGTGTAAAGAAACCCCAAAATCTTTTGAGTTTTGTCTGGTGTTTTCTGTTACAAAACTAACTACTGAAAAGGTTAAATATAACTTTCTACTGGCATGTTTTGGATGGACCTGTTGAAAATGTAAGCTGTGAATTGGAGGATTATAGAATTGAAGGTTATGCAGCTGCTGAGTTTTCAATATGAGATGAACATTCTCCCACATTTTGTCAAGTATCAGTGGATGCTTAAAATATGTGACTATCAAATCAAGAAGCTCAAAAGTTCATGGCTCTTAATTACAGAGAATAATGTATTCAGTCATGTTTTGAGCAGATTAGTTTGTATGTTTTTATTATTTCTGTAGTTGTACATATTATCAGTTAGTAGAAATTAGATGAAACATGAATTTTCCATTTAAAAGGGGAAAAAGATCCCAAGGAAAATAACATTTCGAACTCTTCACAGACACCATAAACCAGAAAACAATGGCTCTGTGTTGTTGTCAAGCACATATTTGGAAATACACTTATTTCTTATGTTTCTATTAATTTTTTAAGTGTTGTATGCAGAACCTTACTTTATTCACCACTACATCACCACTGTTACAATTGTGACTATAAAGTTTCCCTTCTTAAGGCTCTGATGCCACTGCAATAGAAGATAAATTGCTTTTCTTAAGAGCAACTGTAAGAAACTCTGCTTATTCTCTGTCAGGAACATGAACTGTAGGCTAATACTACTTACATAACCAACTTTCTAGAAAAAAAATTGACAATCAGAGACTTATTTTCTGAGGACAGTATCATTATCCGCAAAGAAAAAGAGAAGGAATGAGGAAGTCTGTTCCTCTGTTGTACCCAGTTGTAAATACTTTTTTTTTCTATGTATATTTGTTCCCAGGCTGAAGAAGCTGCCAAAAAAAATAACTGCTGCTTTGGAACAGTTGACACATGGTTACTGTATAGATTGACTAAAGGTGAATGTTACAGTTCCTCTTAAATATTAATAAAGCATATTGGATTCTAAGTAATAATGTTCATGACTGTTATTGATACATCCTAGAATTCAAATGGTTTTTTATAATTGATGGATTTTGTAATATATTTAGTTTTTAAAAAAATAACTTCTGAATCAATTATTCTTTGGGCCTGCCTGGAAGGGTAGTCAGAAAGAGAAATAATTATTCAGTGTAATCAACCTTTTTAAGTATTTAAGTTATAAATAGGACTACCAGAACTAATGGCCTTGATTAAAGAAAACTACCTGTGAAAGCAAAAGAACAAAGAATTGTTACAAATGTGGGAGAATTAAAACTTTCCATCCTGAGGGCTAATGCCTGAGCGATTGGCTAGATTATGATGGACAGTGATGCAGTCAGTGTGGTACATGTCAAAAGTACTGGCTCTCTTCTAGCCAGTTTTATGAGTAAAATAAGGCAGTTGTTAGATTCACATTATGGTGAGCAGCAGGTGACATTTGTTTGCTCATTGTATCGCTATGTCTTTGCCTATAGACACTCAGTTTATGGGATCCACTGAGATGTTTAAAGAAAAATTATGTTTAAAACAACTCTCAAATACTTAGATATCTAAAATCTTACTTCATTCTTTTTTTTTATGGTAGGCTCTGTGTATGCTACGGATTACTCAAATGCCAGTGCTACAGGCATTTTTGAACCCTTTACGGTATGTGCTTTTCTGAAAAAATGTTGTTGCTATTTATTGTGCTTCTGAGCTGAGTTGCTGATGTTTTTATTTTCTCTGTATTATTTCAGAAATGTTGGAATCCCACTTTGTGTAATTTACTTTCTATTCCAATGTCTATTTATCCTTCGGTGAAAGACACAAGGTAACTATAAAGGCATATTCAGAAGAATATAACTGTTAAATTAATTGCCTTACAAAAATACTATATTATCTGTGCAAGCAAAAAAAAAAAAGCTACACCAAAAAAAATATTTTTATATGCTTATGTACTTTCTCAATACTATATCCAAAACTTTATTTTTAGTATCAGTATTTCTTGATGTGATAGTTTTAATGCTTTCATTAAAATAAATAGGTAGCATTACCTTTCACATATGTTGCAGACCCAGGATGCAATATCTAGATTTCATTTTAACAGAAAGGTCAATTTAATGTAGTGATGTTTCTCCATAACATTTGTTTTAAGCTTCAACTTCGGATCAGCTGACTCTGAAATATTTGGAGCACCTATTCCAATAATGGCAATGGTGAGTGAAAATGTTTTCTTACTTAAATCTGTATATTTGTACCTATGTTCTTTTTATCTAGCTTTGATTTCACACTTGCTTAATAAGTATTCTTTATTCCTTCTCTATGACTTAAACTACAGTAGAATTGGTTGTTTAATTTTTCTTCAAAAACAGTTTACAACATTAGAGGGAAAGGAGGAGAGAGGAATGGGAAGGGATTTCTAGAGGTCGGGGTTCATCAAGGTTAGATAACCAAATGATTAAGCACTGAACATAGATCTTAATAGAACTGGGTTCTGCTCTAAGCTCTGGTAATGTGTGTCTCTGTGGCTTAAAATCAGTATGTGAAGTTGTGCAGTGGGGGTCCATTCTGGCTTGATTTCAATAAACTCCACAAATGTAAGAGTATTTGTTAATAGATCCACTTGTGGTACCTTTTATTGCTTTTTTTTCACTAAAAATAGATGGTGAGTAACATGTTCCTGCTTCAATAGTTAGGATTTGGATAAGAAAAATCCATTATTTTTTTTGTAAAGTGATGACTTGTAGAAAAACGTGGTCGAATTGAGCTAAACGGAAAAAATGTCACTGAGCTAATGTGAATTTCTCCTGCTATTTTTTAAGAATGGTAGACTCACTTTATCTGTAAATTTACTGTTTCACCAAAGCACGAACATAAGTAAATACATATAATAACCATCACTGTTGAAAAATGGAGCATGGAAGAATTTGGTACGGGAGGGATAGCAGGGAAAAAGGAAGGTGAGACTTCAAAACTTCAACTTTCTATGTGGGAGGAAAGGAATTCAAGCAAAGCTACTCTGTTCTGTTCCCTGCAATTGCAAATGCCCCATTTGTCCTTGTCAAACTAAACCATAAAATATTTCTTTGGTTTCTGTAACACATTTTTCAGTGTAGTAATCAGTACTACAGACATTCATGTTGTGTCCAAACCTGGTGTAATCTGATTCTAGTGATAAATCTGACTGTTGGAATGGCCTGCAAATACTTAAGAAATTGTATGTGAGTCCTCTCTTAATGCTGAATTCCTCTCTGAATGATTATTTATATTCAAAACCATTGAAGTGTTTGCAGTGATGTTTTAAAATCCAGCAGCTTTGTAGATTGGTAGTTGGTAGGTAACATACTGTTTTTGTTGGTACTGCAGGTAGCTGATCAGCAGTCAGCAATGTTTGGAGAATGCTGCTTTCACCCAGGAGATGTTAAACTGACAATGGGAACTGGTGGTTTCTGGAATGTGAATACAGGAGGACATCTCTTTGCATCACAGAGTGGTAAGATCATGACGTTTTGGTTTTAGAGTATTTAATGTGACTTGACAGTTGTAATGATGAGGGTACAAAAAGGGATAGAACCGGACTACACTTTTCCTTCTGTCTTTAGCTGTAGAAAAGCAGCTTGAAAGTGTTTTTAGAACAGAAGACTGGGGAAATTTTTAATTGAAATGTAGATCTTGGTTATCCTGAAATATGCTTCTCAAGAAGAGATTTTAAGTAACATCACTAGTAATTATGTCTACTACCTGCATCCCTCCTTTTTCTTTTTTTTTTTTTTTTTTTCCCCCCACCTGTTCTTTGTGATAGCAGTACAGGAATATTATACAGTACAGGAATAGAGGAAAAGGAGATTGGTCATCTGGCTTCTCACATCAGAATGTTCCAGTTGATCACTGTAAGTTCCTCCTCTTGAGCCCTTGCACTTTATGAAGTACCTGCAGTGAGATAATGCAGGATTAACAATTACTAATTTTCTTTTAAAATACTAGAAACAGCTCCCCAGCATGTTTCTAGTGTTTAAAACTTTCTCATTCTGAATATCTGTGGTCTATCAAGCTTGTTAATTTGTCATAGATGGATTCTATTTGTCAAGAGATCAACAGAGAATACTGAAGTAAACTTGCCTGTGCAATCTCTGTATGTCATATTTTTAATAAGTTACTAATTTTGGGAAGCCTACAATTTGAAACAGGAGGGGTTGGGGAGGAGGACAGCAGTGTGCTGAGGAGATTTGTACCAGCTGGAAGTCTGGAAGGCCCCTGGCAAACACATGAGATGTGTCAGAACTGAATAGCACAGACACTAAATTCCCTATGAATGCAGGTGCTTTTTAGGCAGATTAATGATGTTATGATGATACTTTTATTTCGAAACTCATATATATGTAGTCTGTGGAAATCTAATAGCAAAAACATGCTGTAAGTTTTTTCTATTCTGTTTTATTTCCAGAAAATATTTAGCTGTTGTGATCTGATAGAAGTTGAAATCTTTAAGGCAGTGGTGTGAAACTTCTGCTTTAGGATGTTGTTTATGTTAAAATTATTTTTTCTGTGTTCTTTGGCTGCCATGTGGTATGGTTAGTAGTACAAGTTAAGTACCCAGATTTCTCAGTGCCCTGGGCATGAAATGTAATGTGTTCAATCTTTAAAGTTGACATATGTATTTAAGACTGCAAGGTAAATCCCTGCAGCATCCTTGTGTGAGCTGTTCATTAGCTGCGGTTCTAGTTTCTGGTCTACATTTAGTTGCTATATGTAACAGTTTTAAAACAAACAAACAAAAAAGTTCCTTCAAGAACAGCAGTTCTCACAATTCAGTGATGGAAGCCAGTTTTATAGATTTAAAATCTCTCTCTGTCAGTCTGATAGCTCTGGTCATGCCAAGTGTTGTGTTGATCCATTCCCTAGAGGTAGATTGTCTTACGCTACTAGAGACAAGGATGTGATCATCCTTAGGAAGGCCACCTGGTGGGCTTCTCTATCCCTAATTAGCTGTCCTTCCCTAGGACTTTTGGCTCAATTGTTTGGTCTTGCTTCTTTGCAGCTTTACCTTTGGCAGAAAATAAAGATTGTAAGGGAGACCTGCACCAGTGATCTGGAGATATGTGTATCACTTTTTTCTTTCAAGAGCCAAATACAAACTTTAAATAGGTGCTGCAGATTATTTTCCATTGTAAGCACCAGAGTGCCTCCAGCACTAAGTAAGTTTCTGTAATTGCACCAGTACTACCATGCCACTCTTCTGGACACAGGCAAGCGAATTGGAGATGATTCTGTGAGGCACACTTGTATATCAGGAAAGTCACCTTGGGAAAGCAGAGAGAATCCCTATATGAGAATCCCTATATCCTTCTGATGCTTTTCTGGTCCTTTAGTTATTGGGACTCACCTACCTTTGTTGCATGACCTGCATGCATCTCTGAGTCCTGAACAGCATCCCATGAAGTCTGGGTGGTTTCTTCACTCCAGTGGTTACCATACTTGGGTTGGGTGGAGTTTTTGTAGTGGCCCTGAATGCTTAGGTTCTTACAAAGTGACCTGAAAAATCATTTGTCCAGCTGCAGTGCTGGAAAATCTTTGCTGTTCAGCTAGATAACGAAGTCATTTTGCACTGGCAAAAACTCTGCAGGACTTTTGTGCTATGTTCTTACAGATATGAAACAAGAAAGTCTTTTTGTTTGTACTGACTGTTTTAAGTAGTGTGTCTCTCTTGTCTTTGTTAAGGTTTCAACATACCCATGGGGGAGCAAAGGGGAGATAACTAGGTTTATCCTCATTATTGGCTGTTTATTTCTAATGTAATAATAATACCTTCAAGTAGTCAGCTCTTTGAAAGATGCTGTACTGTTTTCAAATAAACTGTGTTTGCCCTATGTATTTCTGCCTTTCTTCTGAGAGAAAAGGAAGAAAAAAAAAATAATTTAGAGTCACTACAAAGCCAAAACTATTTGGTGAAAATCATAACATCCTGAAAATCCTGTCATGTAAACCACAGTTATAGACAAAGTGTGTCACCAAATATTTGTAGTGAGTTTGGGTGTTTCTTTTGTTGTTTGTATTAGGCAAACATACAGGTAAAATGCTGTAGTTAACTGGCAGTTGCTTTTGGTGGGGGACAAGGATGGGCAAATGATGAAACTTATTTTCTTTTTTGCTTTCTATGTGAGGAAGCATTGCATACTGAACAAGGAATAAAAGTATCAATTTCATCCTCTTCTATGAATAAGATCTATGTTCTAAGTTTGTATTGCTTTTTTTTGTGTATATGTCTGTGCTTCCCATCTGAAATTTGGGGTAGTTAATTCTGACTTTTTAGAAACCATTGGAGAAAATTAGGTGGATTTAAAACAAATAGGAAAACATTGATAAATTTTTAAGTATGTACATTCTTTTATATAAGAAAAGGTAAGTGCTGATAGCTCTTCTCTTTAGCTTAAAGAGGGTTTTTTTGTAATTTGATTTTTTAAAATTCTTTGGTTTAAGAAACTGTTGTTCGAGTATCTCAGTAGTATCACTGCATTTTTAAAACAATATATTTAACCTCTGTCAGTGACATTGTTATTAGCTTTAATTCTGAAAAAAAGATTGGGTTTATTGTGAGGGGTGCTTGTATATGTTTTTCTGGAAACAATTTAACTAGATGTTTTGTTTTCTTTTATGGAAAATAATTAAGGTCTGTACCCACTGATTGGTTGGAAGATTGGGGAAGAAGTTGTTTACTTAACTGAAGGGTGTATGTCAGACATTGGCACCGCCATAAAATGGGCTCAGGATATAAGTAAGTAGCTCTTTAATTTTATAGAGGGTAAAATATTACTACTTAAGAAACTGTTTTATGGGGTTACAGTTATGTTTCTGGGCTTGGTTTTATTATCCATAATTGAAGAAACTAGACTACCTGTTTTGGACCATGGAAAATGCAGAGTCTCTGTAGTAGGTTCTCTGCTGAGTGTGTTTACTGCAGGGAGTTTGGTTTGCACACTTATCTCCTTTTCAGACTCTGCCTTTCAGACCCGCCAACCTATGCAGACTTATTTTCCTGAAATGTTTTACTCCTCACTTGTTTTTGCTTGAGCATGACAAACCTCCTGATGCATTCTTTTGGTTTTTTGAACCTGGTATCCAAACTTGAATAGCAATGGTGTAAAGGACATTGTCAAATTTAGATGTGTACTGGTTTAGGGTATTTGCACTTGATTTTTTAGTTGGGGAGCAGCACAGAAATTGACTGCTGATTACATCTAGGTAGCATGATTGTAAATGCAGTGTTCCACAAACACTTGCTGTAATGTACAGCAAGAGAGATCTCAAAAACATCTCAGAAAATTAATAACAGGTTTGAGTTCTATGAAAACAGCATGAAGAACTTCATTTTTAGAAGTAACAGTGTTGTGTATGTTGCTTCACATAGAAGTGATGTGCCTTTTGGCTGTGACTATTACATAATGAAAAGACTTGCATTCAAGTTTAATGAAAGACTAATAAAAATACTAGCTCAATAGTAGTTGATATTCAAAACCACTGACTGTTTATAGGACAACTGTTCTGAGTGTTTTAATAAACAGAACCTGGTTTTATGGGTGACTTCAGCTATCCAAACATTTATTGGAAGAAACAATACAGCAGCTCACACATCACTAAGTTCCTGGAATGTGTAGAGAACTGCTTCCTCATACAAATGTTAGATGTGCCAACCAGGAATGAGGCACTGCTGGACTTGCTACTCTTAAACCAAGAAAACCTGCTTCATAGTGTCTTGGTTAGTGATAGCCTTGGCTGCAGTGGTCACAATATTGTGGAGTTTGGGATCCTGCTGAGCATGCTGACAGTACTAAGACAAAGGGGTTTTAGATTGTAGAAGAGCAAACTTCAGCTCACTCAGAGCTCAGCTGGGAGGGATTCTGTGGGAAGCTTCCATGGAAGATACAGGAGCTGGCAAGTGCTGGGAGTTTTTCCAAGAACACTCACCTGGAAGCACAGGAACAGTTCATTCCATTTAAAGGTAAGGGAAGCAGGCAGAGCAAGAGGCCTCCTTGGCTTAACTGCAAGCTTCTGAGTCTGCTCAAAACTGAGAGAAGCATACTAGAGATGGAAAAGCAAATACCAGTTGAGAACTACAAGGGCATTGCCAGGGCATGCAGAGATTCAGTTAGAACAGCAGAAGCCCAGCTTGAATTGAAATTGCCCAGAGATGTCAAAAACTATGAGAGAGGCTTCTTCAGGTATGTAAACAACAAGCAGAAACAGAAAGAAGATACTGGCCTGCTGTTAAGCAGGAGCAGTAAATTAGTCACCAACAGTGCTGAAAAGGGAGAGGCTCTCAACACTTTCTTGACCTCTGTCCTTACCAGCATTGTTGGTCCACAGGCCTTAGGAATAAAATCTAGGTCAACACAAACACAGGCCCGCTGTCAGTGAAGGAGGACGTGAGGAAGGCCCTGATCTTATCCACCTGAGGGTGCTAAGAGAGCTGGCCAGTGTTGTGAGACTGCTCTCCATAATGTCTGAGTTGTGGAGATTGGAGACATCACAGAATACTGGAAGAAGGCTAATGTCACCTCTATCTACAAGGACTTAAAGGAGGATCCAGGAAATTAGAGGCCCATCAGTCTTACTTCAATCCCTGGGAAAGTTGTGGAATGAATCCTCATGGGGCTGTCACAAGCGACATGAAGCATGTGATTGGGAAAAGCCAGCACAGATCCACCAAGGGCAGATCGTGCCTGACAAACCTGATCTTGCTTGGTTGATGTGAGGCAAATGGTGCACGTTGTCTACCTGGATTTTTCCAAGGCTTTCAGTATGGCTCCCCACCACCGCTTCCTAGAGAAACTGATACATTACGGTCTAGACAAAGAGTCTGTGCGGTGGGTGAGGAACTGGCTGACAGGCTGCACCCAGAGGGTGGTGGTAAATAGCTCTTTTTCAGGCAACCTGTCACAAATAGTCCTCCAGGGATTGAGATTGGGCCCAACACTGATATCTTGATAAGTGATCTGGATGGTGGGTTCAGGTGCACCCTGATGAATTTTGCTGATGATAACAAACTGAGTGGGGAAGTGGACACTTTGGAAGGGAGAGCCAACCTGCAGGAATACCTGAATAGGCTGGAAGTGTGGGCTAACAAGAACTGTATGAAGTTCAACAAAGCCAAGTGTAAAGTCTTGCCCCTGGGAAAATATAATCCAGGAGTGCAGCACAGGCTGGAATCTACTCAGCTGGGGAGCAGCTCTGTAGAAAGGGACCTGGGGGTCCTCATGGACAAGCAGCTCTATAGGAGTGATCAGTGTGCTGCAGTGGCAAAGCCAGCCAGCAGGATTCTGTGTTGTATTAACAAGGGCATCACCAGCAGAGAGAAGGAAGTCATTATCCCACTCAGTGTTTGTCAGGCCACACCTGCAATACTGTATTCAGTTTTGGTCCTGGCTATACAAAAAAAAAAGGTGTGGACAGGCTGGAGAGGGTCCAGAGAAGGGCTCCAAAGATGATCAAGGGACTGGGAAGCCTGCCATATGGGGAAAAGCTAAGAAAGTTGGGTTTGTTCAGCCCTGAGAAGAGAAGGCTTAGGGGAGACCTTATGACCATGTTCCAGTATTTAAAGGGTGGCTACAAAGAAGATGGAGACTCCCTTTTTACAAGGAGTCACATCAAAAAGATGAGGTATAATGGGTACAAGTTACTCCTGGGTAGATTCTGATTGGACACAAGAGGAAAACTTTTCACAATGAAAACAATTAAGCATTGGAATAATTCCCAGGGAAGTGATGGATTCCCCACCATTGGACACTTCTCAGATTCAGCTGGACAGGGTGGTGGGCCGTCTTGTCTAGACTGTGCTTTTGCCAAGAAAGGTTGGAGCTGATAATCCTTGAGGTCATTTCCAACCTGATATTCTATGATTCTGTGATAAACTATTTACTTGGTTTACTTAGAAATTTAGTACACCTTTACTAGGATGCAAAAAAGGAATGAGTTTCTCAAACTTTGGGTTATCTGGGAAAGGTTTTCCTGAAGTGTAGTTTACAACAAATTACCACATTTCTTCAAGTTGTCAACTTTTGGTGCATATGTGCATATACATGCTCAGATATGTGCCCTTGAGGGTTAAGTGTGACTGAAGATTGGTCCTCACATCTTCATCATTCAACATTTGATGAAGCCTAGACAATAACAGCCACTAGTTTTTTGAGGAAATTACTTGATTCGATATGCAGTTCAGTGCTGCAGATACAGATATCAGTAGTACATGTATAAGCTTGCTACTTCAGATTCCATACTGAAAATGCATACTTAACCCATGTGAAACTTCTGTACTGAAAATGGATATTACTGGTATTTGTAAAGCAAGAGTATAAAGGATTTTTTGTTTGTCAGTAGTGAAATGGACATAACCTATAGGTGTTATCAACAGGGATGAAAATGAGACATATAATAGTGGTAAAAGTTTGGAAATAGGAATTTCTGCAGCAAGATAAACTTAGTTTAATGGACTTCTTTTAGTGGAATCAGATCACTTCTAAGAATTTTGAAAAAGTAGTATGTGGAATTTCAAGGTTAAGTCAATCATATTTTTTCTGTTTTGTGTCCTGGCATATAGAGGTAGTTTTATATAGTTTGGTAAAAGCAAATACAGCAAGAAGGAAGAGATGTGTTTTAGGCGTATTAGTCTGGGTACAGTAGAATTGAAAGCTTTCAAACAAATTTATAAAGGTTATAAAGGTAAAATTGAAACTCCTTGTAAATTACAAGATGGGTTTCTCAAAGATAAATTGAGCTAGATTAACCTAATTTATCTTTAATAGAATTTACTTTTTTAGACCTCTAGACTTCTGTGAAAACATGTTATGTGGCCACATAAAGACATTATATCAGGTTGAGCAACTTGATCCTAGTGGAAGGTGTCCCTGCCCATGCAGGGGAGATGGAACTAGGTGATCTTTAAGGTCCCTTCCAACCCAAACCATTCTGTGATGCTATGATTATTAGTTATAACTACAGAAGATGGGTGTTTGGTACAAGAATTGCATGTGGGTGAAGAACAAGCTAAAGAGGCGTATCTATCAAGTTGTGAAAGGAGGCATCTGGCTAGACAGAGAATAAAAGTAGTGTCTATCAAAAAGGTGGTATTAAGACCTACCTTACTTATATTTATGTGAGTCACTTGTAAAAGTATTAAGGCTGATAAAATATGGGTATTATGACTTTCTCTGTAGTCATTTGGTGTTTGGGCTGACAATAGCAACATCTCTGGGAGGAAAAAACAAGGTTTATGTTTTGAAAAATCCGGGGGTTTAGCATAGTTAGAGTCCCAGTGTTAGCATTCTCAATTTCCATTTATGTCTGTTGGGGAAGCTAAAGACCTCTTATGGGATGTGTAGATTAAAATGTTATAGCATAACAAATATGAGATGATCCTTATGAGTTTAGTCTTCATCTGAGTAGGTTGGTGGTTTTTTAATGTGACTGATGAACATAAAGTACAGGAGAAGTGATTGTTTCCATTACAACGTGTAGTTCGAGAATATTGCAAAAGAAAATAGTCTAACTAGATTTTTTGTTTCTTAGTAATATACTGAAGTAAATAATAAAAGCGTATGACTTATGGATCTTTACAGATCTTTTCACCAATGTAGATGAAACAGCAAAAATGGCACGGAGTATTGTTGATTCTCAAGGCGTTTGTTTTGTTCCAGGTTTTAAGGTAAAATTATTATTATTAACATAATTGGGAATATATTTTAATAACCCAGTTAAAATTTTAACTTTTACATGTTTAAATGTAGTAATTTACATCTTATCATAGTATTTATTCTGTACTACTCAGGTTCTTATTGTCTGTCTCTCACCACAACGTATGAAGATCATTGTCAAATCAGAATGCTCAAACACCACCACCACCACCACACCCCCCCTGAGAAAATCCCTGCAAAATAGGAAAATTACTTCCATTTTGCAGGTGAAGACCTGGGGGACAGATAAGCTAAATGACTTGCCCACAGTAACTCAGCAGTGCCTGCACAGACAGAAACCAATCCCATAGCTTTTCTGCCTCATGCAGAGCTTTCATTGAGACAATAATTCTAAGCACTGTTTTAAAATAATTAATTTTATTCTGATTCTTTTCAGGATGTAGACTGCAATTCAACAGATTATTTAAATGTACTTAAATATGAGCAAGATGTAAGTCCTGGTGTTACAGAAAGCAAACGTAATAATATTTAGACACTCTTCCTTGGAATGATTAAACCGAGTATGGTAGACTTTTAAAAGTCTCAGTAATTCATTGGTTTGAATGTATACCAGCACGTCTCTCTGGGCATTTCTAAAAGTTCTTTTCTCTTTTAATCTTCATTCATCTACCGTACTCAGTTTGATCATTCCTGGGACTAGTGTGTGGGGTTTTTTTCTAAAGAAGCTTAACATCTTTAACCTTACCTTTGTGTAAGTCCTGTATGTTAGCAGAACAAGGCGAAGAAAAATTTCATTTCTTCTATGGGTAGCCCAGCTACCTTCCCTCAAACAGCCACCCTAATAATTAGATTTATTTTTAGGTATATAAAGCTTGATTTTTCTAAGATGGTTCCATTTAGCATTTACTGTGAGTAATTGTGCTATGAATAAGCAAATGTTGAGCCATGCCAAATTCCAGTATTTGCGGACAAGAATCCTGAGGCAGACAAATGTTAGTCTGTATCTTTTTTTGAACCTTTAATTCTATCAATATTCAAGTTCTAGAGATGTTGGTAAAACTTTTTTTGTTTATTTGGCTTCTGATTTGCTTTGCTAGTTTTTCTCCCCCTTGCTTTCTTGACACTGTCTCCAGAATGAACCCCAGCTAGCTTCTTGGTAAACACTGATACAATCTCTTTTCCCCTAATTCTCATATTCCCAGTCCAAATTTAGAAGCTGAATTTAGAAAACTGAATGGATTTCTCTTTGACTGTGACACCTAGTACCCACTAACAGTGTCCACCAATGTGAATTTCTTTGCCTTTTAAAAGCCCTGCTATTCCAGTGGACTGTACTTAGCTAGTAGATGCACAGTTACAGAATCCGTACCAATCTAGAAACTGACTGGGTTAAATAGTATGAAAAGGGACATGAACAGTTGAACGCTTCTGGGATTGTGATGTGTCTGTTTAGCTTCACTGGCTAGATGCTAACAAAATTGATTCTATTAAAATGTTTCTTAGAATGATAGCGGTTAGGGAGGGTTCTTATGAAGCTCATATGTTCATTTCCTACACAGAGTAAAAAGCTTCTCTACTTATCCCTATTAAAGCAGTAAGAATTAGTTTGTTTCTTACTGGGTTCTGCTGCGCTGCAGTGCACTAAGGAGAGCATCACTGTGAAAGTGTATTTGAAATTGAGGGGGTATATGCATTAATCATCCTTCCTTTTACTCATTCTGCTAGAAACAGGGGTTTCCAGGCTCAGTTTGCTTCTAAGAAAAAACTTAGGACTCTTCGTTGGCGTGTATGCATATATATATGCACTGCTACTTTTTTTTTTTAAATGATTGAGTTTTTCAAGATACTGACACTTAATGTAGAATATGAGTATATGCTTTTTAGTTTATTATCTTGTATATGACATAGTTTATTATCTTGTATATGATATATGTATATGATATATAGTCTTGGAAGCCATGAATCCTTATTATGCTACTGGGCTGGACAAGTGGTTCCATTTTTAGAATGGGAAGTGTACTTATGGGAAACTTTTATTATTTTTTTTTTACTTTAATGCAGAAGTTTCTTCTATTTAGGAATTTTTGCAAAAATGCCAGTTTTCCTTTTAGGTGTGTACATATCTGTATGGGTTTTGGTTTTAGGGTTGTTTTTTTTTTAACGTATGATAGCATTTTCTTTATAGATGTGTGTGTGTATTTTATAAGCATGAAATTCAAACTTCTGGTAAGTGTTGTCAGAACTGATATTTAACACAACTGGAAAGGATTCTTTCAATTTGAAAATTCCTGTCTACAGTGAAAATAAGATTCAACATTGTCTCACACCAGGTATGGACCAGCAAACTAATATTTTGTGATAAAATTCATCAGAGTATTGAAGGGGTGGAGAGGAAATTCATCAATCGATCCTCTAGTTCTCCTGCAAAAAAAACCAACTTTAGTGGCCATTAGGAATTTAGTTGGACTGTGTTTATTTGTGTCGCTGAAAACAGGCTGTAGTAAACTAATAAAAACTGTTACCATTCTTTTCAGTGTTGCTTTTAAAAATCAGTTCATCTTTCTTTTAGCAGTTCAGGAGTGTTGTAAAAAAAAATGTTGTGAAATCTTGCTAGAGAACAGCAATATCAGTGTGCCCTGTCCTAGACAGTGTATGGTCTATGTATTTTAAAGAGAAGTCATACAGATCAGTGTTACTTAGTATGCCAAATTTGGAAGAAGTCACTTAACCCTTTTCCTGTTGAAAGAAGATGTTTAAACTGTTCACTGAGTTAGCTAAAATAACACTATGTACCTCTTACATATTGTTTTCAATTTTCTTCTTTCACTATGCTGCCTGTAATTTTCGTAAGTTATTTTTTTCTTACTATTTGACTTCTTTCTCAAAAGCTTACAAATCAAATTCACTGAACTCATTGTGAAATCTTTTCTGCAGGTTTCTGTGAATGATCCAGATTTATGTGCCTCTTTCATGGGGCTGAAACCTTCCACTACCAGAAACCATCTTGTACGAGCTATATTGGAATCTATAGCTTTCAGGTACTGTTTCCTTAATTTTCTTGTTTATGTTTCCTTTTATTTTGATCAGCAGTGTTAAATAGATGCACGGACTTCTGCAGTTTGTAAAATACAAATCGTAGTAATCTGTTACTGTTACACTGAAAAGGAGTTTTAGCAGCTTCCCTTTTTTTCATTGACACTTTACAAATAAATTTGTGTATATTTAGTAGTATGGAGCTTTTGTTGTTAAGTAACCATACAGTGATTCTTAAATGATATTGTTTTCTGCATGTTCTAGAAGTGTTTTCTGTTTAAAGTTTGTCCTTACTCTCCTGACAGTGTTTTGTCAAAAGCTGTAGCCCACTCCAGCTGTGTTTAAAGTACCCCTGAAGGTGAAAGTTTCGTATTAGCTCTTTGGCTAAAGCTCAAAATGTTTGTGTTTTATAAAACATCATAATACGCATCTTCAACAATTTCTAGATCTAACTGTCAAGGTTAAAGATATTACTGCTAGTCACTGATGATAACACAGAGCTCACAGGTGGGCTCTGCCTTGCAAACCCATCCATCATGCCTCAAACTGAAGCTCAATATGGTTTGAGTGTGATTCACGCTCTGCTGTGGCCAGTTAGGGAGCACTGACATGATTTCTTCCACCTCTGTTTGGGGATAATACACTCCTGCAAAGAGGCAAAAAGGGTGTCTGAAGGAAGGTAACATTCTGAATAGCTGCAACTGTTTCTAATGCATTTTTTTCCTGTGTTGTAAGAGGAATGCAGGATGCAGTAATTCCTGAACTGAAGTATGGGTCTCTTGAAAAGAGGGATGTTGAAGAACCTGATCTCATTCAAATGCCTAACTAGAAAAGGGTAAAGACCCTTTGTGTTTAGATTTTCTACTATTAAATGAAATGCTTTCAGAACAAGTCACACAGCGTTCAGATGTTCCCTTTAAAGAACAGATGGATAAACTCCGATTAACACTCTGTCAGCCTGCTTTCCTCACTCCAAACCACTTGTTACATCAACAATTGCATCTTGTCTGTAGAAACCCATCAGCAATTTCAGGTGGAAAAAATTTGTACCTTCTACAGTGACTTGCTATAGAATGGGCTATGATTTAGCCATACTTGTGCCTTCACAATAATGTATAAGAAAGATCAGTTTCAGTCTCTTTTTTTCTTTTTTTCTTTGTTCTTTTTTCTTTTTTTTTCTGGAAACTTGTTAGCTATTGCAGCAGTTCTGACACAACTGAGGCATTTTTTGCCTTGTATTTTATTTTCTGACTATGTAGATACTGGAAACACTTTATGGAATATATAATACCTAATTCAATTAAATATTTTTTTAAAGAAACAAACAGCTTTATGATATCATTGTGAAGAAGGTACGCATTCCTCTGCAAACTATTCGGTAAGTTCCATGTAAATTTTAGATTTGATACGTGGGAGTTTGATTTTTAAATAGGTATGAACTTCATTACGCATTTTATCTTACTGTAAAAACTCTACTGCTGAGAAATATGTAATTACCAAGTTAAATGTTAATGTAACTTAAGTGACAGTAGAGTCTACACACAGAAGAGTTGGTTCAATTAAACTGTTGGTATTGGTGGTTGTCAGTAAGTGAACGATGAATTGCTCTAATTTTTTTTTTTTTAAAAAAGGCAAAATCACGTTTTCAGGTATCACTGGAGTGCATATAGCAATGCCTACCACAGAAGTCATTCTATCCTTGATTATTCTTTCATACTGAAATGTTTCATGCTGGTTCTCTCACAGACTGAATGTTTTTTTGAAGATGTCAGTTAAAACTGGATCTATTTGTAAAGGAAAGAGGGAAAATATTTTTACAATTCAATGAAGACATAGGTTTTGTTTCAATCTTCGAAGAAGCAAATCACATTTAGTGAGGTAACAATCCCTAAAATATGCTTTTCACAACGTCTTGGAAAAATCTAGCTGAATTATGCATTGCTGGAAAACCACATTGCACATTTGGGTAGGGACTTCATTTGAACACACCAGTTGTCAGAGCTTCAAGCCCTCTCAAGATGAGAAAGCTCTAAAATTTCTCATTCTGGCAGCCAGGGGTCATCATGATACCACAGTCAAGAACAGAAGGGTGAGTGTTCCCTGGCCCTCTTGCGGCTTTTTTCCCGATACCCATGCAAGGGAAGAAATAGAATGGCAGGCATGTAGACAGTTGAGAAATCGGACTCCTGAGTAGTGGAAGAAAAGTGGAAGTACGGAGCAGGGGAGGTAAAAGTTTGTCACCCATCACATACTGTGACAGAGTAGGCAAAGATGAAGGAACCACCAGGCTTGGGGTTTTAATGAAGAGGAAAAGATTTAAAATATTGTAAATTTTTATTCCTTGGGAAGCTTTTTTTACATAGAAAATTGCATCCGAAATTTGAGAAGTCGTATTAAGACTGAGAACTGAAAAACGGAAACTCTGCAAGTACTGCTTAGAGAACATTAGAATTCTGATCCTATTTACACTGTAATATAAACTTTCAGTTGTATGATCATGTTCTGTTTTATTAATATAAAATTCCAGTTCCATATAGTGACTGTAATAGTTAGCTATGATCAGTAGTAATTCAGCTTGTGGATTAAGCATTAGAAGATAATGAGATACACTTCATGGATTTTTCAATAGGGCTGTAAACTGCTCTCCCATCCTTTTGTCCACATACCTTTAGTATCTATCCATTAACTTTTGAATTTTAGTTGTAGTTTTTATTTCATAAATATGTTCAGTCTTTTTTTAGCTGTTGTCCTGTATCCCTTGTTTCTTCCCAGTCTCTGGCTCCTATAAGCTTATACATAATCATTTTCATTAGTCCTCTACATTCATATTACTTCTTTTTTGTTTGTCTCGACACTATCAAGGAAAGCATAGAGGGGGAACCCTCAGCTGTAGTCTTTACGTGTCATGTTTCAGCAGTCTGCAGCAGCCTTTACAAGGATGATCCTGGTGTTCCCTCCCAGAGTCCTAGAATCTCACCTATTTACTGTTCCGTGAAATAGCACATCCCCAGTCAAATGGCATGTAGGAACTTTGAGCTAGAAGGCTGATTCTTCAAAGTATCTAGCAGCAAAATTTTGCTAAATGTAAAACAGGTATTTGCAAATTTTGTTGTTCTTTTCCCCTTGTAATTTGTATCAAATGGTTATCTTATTTTTGCAGAAGAAGGAAAAATGCATGTCACTGGCATTAAGAAAGTGACTGCCAGTTAAAGTTTTTTATGCTGTAGTGTAGAGGTGGTAATCCTGCTTAACTGTTTGTACAAACAAGCAAAACCCTGTAACATGACCAGTCAGGCAGTGGCTCCTGATTTTACTTTCAGAAACAACCAAAACATTTATGAAAAAGTTTTGTTAGTCCTCACACAGTATAGATGATTTCAGCTGGCATGTTTGAATTGAATATTTCTAAGCAACTGTTAAGTTTTATTACCCAACACTTTCTGTAGAAATAAGTAGTAGATGTCTTTACTGTACCACATTTGACAGAACACCACCTCCATACCTGGCTGGTATTGGAGTCCAACAGCATAAGGAACCAATCTATCACAATTCAAAGACTGCTTTTTGTTATAGTTATTTTTTATTTGCAAGAGCGATTATTTTGCACTACTAGTAATTATTCAGGTAATTAAAGATCAGCATTTATAAGTTCTAGTTTTTTTCATTAAAAGGGTCTCCGACATGATGCAATTAGGAAATTATTAATAGATAGATGGAAGCTTCAATCTCATCTTCCTCATAAAAAGAAGTAACTGTGAAGGTATTTTAGCTAACTAGTACAAAGATCTGGTAGTAATGAAAAAGGTACTCTTCCAGATCTGCAATGGGTTTGTTTAATGTAATGATTTTGACTGTTGTCACGTGATGATAACTATGTGAACATTCTGCTATAAACCCTAACATTTCAACCAGGATGATGTATAGTTCTAGAAGACAGAGCTTTCAAAGCTTTTGATAATGTCTGTCCTGTGTCCCTGTCTACCATTCCTCCCCCAGTTCACAAGCACTTTTATTTTTCTAGGCACCTTGTGCTGGCCTCTAAATTTGCCCATAAAATGGAAATGCATTTGTGCATGAATGACAGGAACATTTATGCATGGGTGTGAAACCCCAGAAGTTGTTGTCTGAAATGTTGGCAATAAGCATTTGAACTAAATGTGGTTTTTTTTGTTTTTCACTTCTTCCCCTCTCCCTATAGAGCTGATGGAGGTGTCAGTAATAATAGTTTTGTCATGCAGATGACTTCAGATTTAATTAATAAGAAAATAGAAAAACCTGCAAATGCAGACATGTCTAGTCTTGGTGCAGCTTTTCTAGCAGGCCTTGCTTCAGGTATGTTTCAGGTTATGTTTTTCCCTTCAAAATGCTTATTTGTAAATATGGAGGAAAAAAAAAAAGAAGAAAAACCCGGCATAATTTCAGATAATTGTGAAAGCTACTGAAAGGATTGCTTTAGCCATTTTTGTGGGAATCCAAGGTCAGTAGTGTTTATGTTTCTCTGTACAGTGCTTTGTACCCATGTACTTGTATTTGATGAACCAGAGAAATGGATGACAATGTCATTTGGTCATAAAACAAACCATGGGCATTGTATTTCTAACACAATGTACTAGTTTGCTGAGCAGGTGTCTGCTTGTTTAGTTTTACATAAATGGTGACAGCGAGTGTAATGTGAAAGGTATCTGCATATATGTCTGTAAGATTCATTTACATTTAGAAGGATATACTACTGGGGAAGAAAGAGGTGAACACTGTCTTTGCTGCCTCCCTTTCTTGGCCCAGCCTTTTTGCATCCCTTCCCATATTTGCACTGTCTGGAGCGGTGCTCGGTGGGGATGGGTCACGTGACAAGCTGCTACGCTTACGCACAGCCGAGTCATTCCTGCTGAAGCTGTGTCCTGTCACCTTTGAACCGAGTCTTTATTCTTTAAGGTTTTTAAAGAAATAAACACAGTGGAAGTACAAAATAAATTAACAAGGAAAAAAAAGTCCAGTTCTACTCACACAGAGTTGCTTTATATAATTAACCAAACTTAAAACTACAAACTGTCAATGGTTTTGCTTAATACCCACCTACAAAATATATTTCCATTAACTTCAATAAATTGCTTTGATATATAACACAATTGGAATATAAAAAGTATATTCTCAGGTAAGACTTATTCAGCAATTAAAACTGTAAGAAAGCTGCAACCCTTGACAGACAAGAATGTCTCAACATAAATTAATCTGAATATGTAATACTGGCTGTTTTCTGCCATTTATGCAATATTTAAGACAGTAGGAAAGCAACTAGTGCTAGGTCTCAGTTTCTGTGGCCCTTCTTCATTGAGAAGGGCCTGCAGCTGAAAGCACAGTGTGGATGAAACTTAAAGGAACTTCAGTGTACCAGAGCTGTTCCTTGGAAACCATCCCAGTTAAGCAGATGTGCTGTTGTCAGGATTCCAAACAAGTGGATGCTATTGGAAAGGAGTTTCACAATCTTAAAAATATGCTTCCCTCTGAGAAAGTTGTTGGTTGAGTAAAGAAAAGCTGGCATGATTTCTTACTGTGTTTCTGCTTTGGATCTCTTGGAAATAAATTAAAACAACTCAGAAATAACATATTTACAGTTGAGAATGAACTTTCTGTTTATAGGATTTTGGACTGACAAAGAACAACTGAAGAAGCTAAGGCGAATAGAAGCAGTTTTTGAGCCCAAGAAGGACTTAGAAGAATACAGACCTGCTATGGATACCTGGCTACAAGCAACAAAACACTCCCTGCACTGGTAGAAATTGGAATTTTAATGAAGGAAGAACTAAAATGTTTTCATTTGTGTTTATAAAATCTTGACATTAACAGGACAGTAAAAACCATGACTGAAATTTGTGATGGTATATATATATATATATAAAGTATACAGTTGTTCAGTTACCCCCATGCTGCTAGATTACTTACCATGCCAGAATGAACCTTCATGTCATCCCTATGGCAGCTGTAGTCCAGCTGCAGCATTTGTGTCCCTTCAGTGACCTCCTTTGGGTGGCCCAGCTGCTTGAATCCTACTGTGTACTAGAGATGGGGAGGTTTTTTCCTATGATAGGTTTTCTACTGATGAACTCTCCTCCCTTCGTATCTTTAAAATCTTTGGTATGTTAACCATCAAGGAAGGGTAAAAGGCACATATACTTCCCTAGGCATTTCTGAGAAATGTAAAATGATTGTTGGGAGGGGAGACATGATGAACTTGATTGTGTACAAAGATACTTTCTGATGAGTAGCCTGTTACCACTTTCTATGGAAGCTTCGACCCAGCTACCTGATGACATTTTTATGCACTAAATTGAAATGAAATACGAAAGTAAATAGGCTTTTAGTACTCCATTAAAAAAAAGAAAACCCCAGGATTTTTGTAGCTGATGGCTTCTATCTAGCTTGTAGCTCAATTTTTTAAAAAGACCAAAAGCTATATTATCTGGCATGGCTAGTACAAATACATTAGAAGTAGTTACAGGTATGCTCTCTAACTTGTAAAAATCTGTAACATTAGTATTTTCAACCCTGTTGTTAAATCCTATCATTACTAGCTAAAAGAGGGTCAAAAATCTATTTTTGAAGCTATGAATTAGTTCTATATTTTTAAAATAAATAAATTATAATTAATGTGCAGTTAATTATTATTTATTTGTTTATCACTAATTTGAAGTAATAATTTTCTCAGGAGTATGTGTAAATCAGTTTCAAAGATGCAAAATTATTAAACATCTTCATTTCAGAATAATAGCAAATTCAAGCTGTGGGTGATAGTGTTCCACAGACACTGGAGACAAGAAATATTTATAGGTTTAACATTATCGAAGAGGATCAAAGAACTGTCATTCACTTTTTCTCTTGCTGAAACATGGAAGATCAAGTCATACACCATTACCTCAGTTTCTTTCAGTCATCTACCATGATCTGGAGCATTGACTCTAGCTGATGTGTTCTTCAAACTACATCTTATTTGCCTGTCACCCTTAGCTTAACATAGTGTTTTTCTTACTCTTATATTACTTTCTGTCCTTCAACCTGTGCTACATCTTGACATATTTTTTTCCTCTGGCTATTCTTCAAGTTGCAGATACCATTCTCTCCTGAACCTACTTTAATAGGAATCCTGAAGTCCACAACAGTTCTGTTTGCTGATTCCTAGTAATATGTCAGACTATACAATCTATATGGTTGATAGCTGTGTAGATACTTCTTTTTTTTTTCTTTTTTGGACTATAAAATATGGCTGTGCAGATGCCAAGACACTAATATAAAGTCCATTGATGAGGTTCCCTACATGGCAGCTCTTGCTGTAAGGTAAGAACACATAGTTACAGGATATGTGGAACATTTTCTTTGCTTCAGCACCCATGTTCAGCTTGTGATTTTTCTCTGTCATCTCAATCTCACTGCTAAAGAAAATGCTAATTGGCAAGAAAGTTCTATTAGGCCAAACAGAGCTTTCAGTCTGGCATTTTGAGCAGAAATTTGTGCCTCAGTTGCTGGTATTCTACACTGTTCTCACTGAAGGAGTTTAGTTTCATCAAGTCTGCCTAGGGGTAATGTCCACCTATTGCCCTCTTGATTAAGGCTCCTTAACTTAAGTTCACTTAATAGTTTTGTGGGTTTTCTGGGCTTGATTAGGGTTCCTGCAGTGTTCCCAGATGGAACTCTTAATGGGAGCTGAGTCTGACTGTTCAAATCACTTCACTGAAGGTAAGTCAGCTAGCCATGTGCCTTATACAGCACCTTTACACAGTGCTGGTTTTCATCCTGGGCATAGCACAGCTAGAAAGGTAGAAGATACCCAAGACATTATATAATCCTCTTGTTCTAGGTAGTGCCCTAGAGGATCTGTTCTGGGTAACTACTACTGTCACTGTTTAATCTGAAGGAGGAAATTTCCTTTCACTAGCCTCAAATCTACAGGAGAGAAACTTCACTGCAAATTAAGGATGCAAAAAAGTCCTTACTGTATTCACCACTCGAGCCTTTTAAATGATCTGTGAAGTTGAGCGTTCTGTTGTGGAGAGGTTGAAAGTAGTGAGTAAGTCTCTGAAACAAACGGGGTGTCTTGTAAGTCTACCAGGATGGAGCAGCCTTTGGAGCTTAGAGCTTCTGCCACAGCTTGTGACACAGAGTTGTTCAAAGGCTAAACAGACTAGTAGACATCTTCAAGAAATTTGGTTATTGATCCCTAAGCCTCTTTTGCTTACAGGAAAAATTGATTGTATCTTCCCAGGAAATTTTTTATGTGCTGAAATGGTACCTGTTAATTGATAATGCATTTGAAAAGAGCTTTAAGCAATTAGACATTTTTACAGGCACTTTGCTGTCTCAATTTCTGCTACACAGAAGGGTGTTAAGACTGTTGTAGAACCTCACTCATACTAACCTTTATTTAAAATAACAGCTTTTACTGCTGCTCTTTTTACTTGTATTTAGATTTTTGACTCGGGGGTGGTTTTCATCAGTTTGAAAAGTATATGCAATTTTACATTTGCTGTCAGCTGGGTTTCACAGTAAAGGTAATACAAAAATTATAAATAGTAACTAGTTTGTAGTTTTATCATTTTAAGGGATACATCATGTTGAAACTGAATGTTTTATTTGGGATTGGGTAGTAATGCACCTCATCAGGCATGTGAAGATTGGAAATTCAGTTGAGATGTGTTAATGATCTCTGGGCATCCTGCCTTCACAGATATACATGGTGCTGATGGTAGATAGTTTCATTGCAGTTTGGCAGTGTTTTATCATTCATAATGCCATATAGTCCTATTAGGTGCATGAGGACTGCATGGCATGAAAAATCCCTCTCATGTTGGGGAGGGATCTCACTACTATTGGATTAATTATTGCATGTCAAGAAAAAGGGCAGATAAAGTAGTCTTCAGATAGTTGAAAATGTGGAGCAGATGTTGTATGAGGGTTCTTACATAACTAAGAAAAAAAACATCAGCTATGTTTAAAACCTCGCTGTAATGAACCTTGCCAAGATTTTTGAGTACTGTTTTCTTTTAAGCAGTGTTTTCTTCTGTCCTGTAACAGCTAATTTTATGTAAAATTAATTCAGTCGCTCTCATCTATTTTTGACAAGAGCATTTATACTACTTTCCTGTCAGAAGAAAGTAAAAAAGGAAAATACTGAGTTGCTGTTTCAGCCTGCTAGTGTCTTGGTATAATCTCCTTGGTATAAGATCCTTCAAGTAGTCCCACTATTGCCAGGATTAGGGCACGCACAGAGGCTCACCAGTTGAACAGCAGCCTTGTGGAAAAAGGTAACAACCGTTTCTTGCCCATCAGTGGGCCATGGAATGGGCTGGAGGTGGTGGTGTGCTCTTAATGGTCCAAGCCAAAAAGTACAGACAAAGTTGTAATCCCTTCTCCAAACAAACAGGTATGTCAGTACTGCAGGTTGCGTCAGGGAATACAGTAGTGCTCTGACCTGGGAGTGGGGGCAAGTCCAGCAGGAGAAAAGGGAGGCAGGGATATAGGTTATCACAGCAAGGGTTGTGGGCTGGCAAGAAAGCAATGAAACGAGCAAATGTTGAAAAGTACTGCATCGTGAAAGGGTTAAGGTGGGGGATCTGAAAGGGATCTGACCAGCCAGAGGGAGCAAGATGCGTTCTAAGGCTGGGAGATGTGAGAACTTACTGCCAGGCAGGTTTTACTATAAATAGCCACTAAACCCGTGCCTTATCATGGTTAAAAAAACACTTCCAGGACTTTTTTCAGTTTAGACCTCATTCTGGGATTTCTGTAAGTTCTGAAAGACTACATACTGATTTAGAATGCTGTAGCATACTTCTCATACAAACTGATTGTTGTTTCAGCAGCTTCAAACTCGGTAGTCATCTAATTCTGCAGTTTGCTGTTGAAAGCAAATGCAGACTACAGCAGTGTCTTTTCTTCTGTTTCTTTACTCTCCTTAATGGTTAAAATGCCTATTTTTCATGTTCATAATCAGTTATAGCATCTGACTTCATCGGTTTTCTTGCAGAAAAGTAAATAAGGCAATGAACTAAAAAGAGGTATTTGAAGTATAAGTGTCTTAATTGAAGCTGGTTTGAGTTCAAGTGTTTGTTTAGTTCAGGTAACTGACTCAGTAGTGCAGTGAACCAGCCAGCCTGGTTTGCTTCTGTTTTGCTTCCTTTTCCAAGGCAGTGTGTGGCCCGTATGCTTCCGTCAGGGCACGCTTCAGTTGCCTTTATGTTAGCTGTTGTGATTGTTGTACCTGTTAGAGGGGTCTCCAAGAGAATACTCAATAGTTTGTGGGGGTTTTAAATTCTTTTGTTAAAGTATCTTGCACAACCCTGCAAATATTGATAAAGGTCTTGTTGCATGTAATGAAAGTATTTTTATAGAGCATGAAAAGAAACTAAAACCACAAAGTCAGCAAATTCCCGAGCACATGCTAGATTTTCGGTTGTGAACTATCCCACTGAAGAGAATATACAGTTCTTGCAAATGTTTTCCTTAGTCCTTTCTTTAAGAACTCTATGTTAAAGGCTGAACACCTGTTTTTTGGTGCTTCTTCCCTTTTTGGTAAAGGAGATAGGATCAGATATGTCTTTATAGAGCGTTTAATGTCTGTAAAGCAAGAAAAACTTTTGCTATACCCTGCATATGGTCTAGAGGTTTCTAAAACAAAGTGTTTCTGCATCCATGTAAACCTTGTTTGGCTCAGCTTGCCCAGTGGCGTTAAGGTGAATTTGTGTTACAGAAATTTGAAAAATGGGTTACTGCATGCCTTGGATGTGTGCCTAGCCATACAGGAGACTGACTTTAAAATGTTGCTTTAAATGGAACTAGTGCCGATTTTGGTTTTTTATTCTCTGCAGTGTCTTCTATTCATGTTCTCTGTTAAGAATACTTCATCTCGCTTTGTTGAAATCCGTTTTTAAGAAAAGGTAAGGAAATGTTGAAAGCAAGTTAGAGGGTTAAGGGAGAGCCCTACACCTCCAGCTAGGCAGCAGTTTCCCGGGGCTGGACCCCGTACCACCTGCTCTGCCGGCCCGGGCGGCGGGCAGAGGGGCGAGGCGGAGGCGCCCCAACTGCTCCCCCATGACAGCAGCTCTTTGTTTGCCCGGAGCTCCTTTGTTTCAGGGGAAGGAAGTTACGGAGCTGTTGCAGGGCACGTTAAAAGAGGAAACCGTGGCCGAGGCGTGCCCAGCCCAGTCCTGGCCGCTGCCGCTGCCCCTCGGCTCGTCCCTGCGGCCGGGCGCCCCGGTGTTCGGTCACCTGGAGCGGCGGAACCCGCGGCGGGGCTGAACTTTGCATCCCCGGGACACAACCGCGGCAGCTCCTCTCAGATAAGCGGAACGGAGCCCGGCACGGCTCGTGTCTGGAGACACTGCGGCGCCCTTCAATGTGTATAAATACCAACGCGTCTCCCTCCTCCCGCCCCGCAGCGCCCTGCCCCGGGCGGGCAGCGCCTTCCCCCGGGCGCCGGGGAGGGCGGGCACGGTCGGCTCGACCTGTCAG